TTTCTTCAAGAATAATTAGTCACCAATATTTACATGAGTTACAGGAAGCAGAGCAACTGTGCAATGTGTAGGATTCATCTTAGGAACAGTCCTATTTCCATGGATATCCAAAGCTGTCAGACCAATGAACAAATCCAAAAAGGAGATGGTTTCCTCCTCCAGAAGCACCATGCTGTGTTTCAATAGACGCACCTCTCCATTTTAGGATACTCACTGAACCATTGCCAGATAAAAATACATTGCTGACATCTGAAATGTCTTATTGCACTTAGAAACTGTTGATTAAAGGAGGAAAGATCAAAGAGAGAAAGGTTGCATTTACCCCCCAGTGATTAATACTGGCTTTACCTTCAAGAGGCAACAAAGCTGCCAAAACTGAGAAATTAGAGGACAGCCTTATGCTCTGCACACTTCAGATGTCTGAAAGTTCTTTGCTTCTAATCAATTAGGCTGCAGCCTCACATTCTTCATTCACTCATCTGAGGCTTTCTTTCCGTAAGCCTGGCTATTGGGGTCACTGTCAGTGGGCATTTCCACATCATTATCCAGTCTGAGACCTTGAGATTTTCCTCATAAGGAAGCACAAGGAAACATGAGTTGGGTGGTATACTTTCACTCAAGTTCTTATCCCTAAACAGAAGCACAGTGGGCAATCCTGTATCCCACTGACTAGGAAACCAAGACACAGGTGCTTCCATCTCCTAACCTCTTGTATGCTGCTTCCAAGCAACACAGGAGCTGGGAGTTCATCTCCCAGTGTCTGTGCACATGGCCTATTTACTGAGCACCTGCCTGTCTGCCCTCACATCCTGCTTCCATGGGACTTTCCACTCTGAAATTGCTGCTCACACCTCATCTTGCCTCAGCCACTCATTCAAGTAAAAGTATTCTATATAAACTGAAATAAGAAATACAGAAAGGGTTCTGCATTTGCTGTGGGTAAGTTTTGAAAACTGCATTTGTTTCTTATAGAGTCGGTATCCAACCTCACAGTAATCAAAAATCAGCACTGTGGTTAATGCACAGGGCTGGGCATCAGATCATTTACGTTCTGGCCTCTGCTCTGTCTTAGACTTCCACTATGCCATAATCACTTAAATTCCACTCTCAGAGGTGACATTTAATTTGGGATAAGCCAGGTTTGTCTGCTAGACTGTAATATCTGGAACTCAGTTTTCAGAAGGTGGTTTCACTGACTTCAGCTGGTATGAAAAGAACTCAAAATCTTTGCAGATCAGATTCCCAAAAACGAATGGTTGTTATCTAGGTGCTCTACAAAGCATCCATAAAATGTTACTGATGGCATAATGGAGAACTCCAATTTATGAATACTTTGCACATGCTATGCATCCTGAAACAACTGCAGGTGTTTTAGGGAAGTGGGGGTAGAGTGCAGAGCACACAGGGGCTTACTGTGAATGAGGTGATCAGTGCTCAGGATACCTTGCCTGCACGTTTCAGTGCATGACTTGAGGCTGTCAGAAATGAAAGTGCTTCAAATAAGGAGCCACAGCTGAAGAGACAGATTTTCTCTACCATGGAGGCCTCTGTGGCCCCTAAATTCCAGTGAAGTCAATGGAAGTATATGTCCTACAGGGACCTGGGCTGTTGTGACCAAGTAGCATCATATCCTGTGATCAAAATCCATTACTATTTACAATGTCTGAATTCCATCATATAACTTTGTCTGTATTTTGGATGGTAGATGCCAAACACACTTGGAATTCTACAAAGAATTGAAACTAAAATTTCAATTTTAGAGGGGAGATTTAGGTTAGATGTTAGGAAGAAATTCTTCTCTGAAGGGATGGTGAGGCCCTGGCACTGCTGCCCAGAGCTGTGGGTGCCCCATCTCTGGAGATGTCAAGGCCAGGTTGGATGGGCCCTGGGCAGCCTGAGCTGGTGGGGGCAGCCCTGCCCACAGCAGAGGAGTTGGAGCTAATTGATCTTTAAGGTTCCCTCTGACTTAAGCCATTCTGCAATCCTATGATTCTAAAACTAAATCCAGCAAAATGTGACTTTTATGTGTTCTCATATTTGTCTGGAAATGAATCAACAAAAATAAATGTTTATACTGTTACCCTGCGATTTTCTCTGTCTGGTGAAGAAATGTTGTGGAAAAATCCCCAACAGCACAATCCTGTGCTTAACATACTTTAATAATACATCTGAACATCTCACTCAGCAATCCCAGTGCAGCCTACACCGGATAGCAGAATCGAGGTGAGGAAGTTTGGCAACTGCATTACTGCTTCCAGTTTGCATGACTCAGACTGGGTGGTGCTAACAGGGAGGAGAATCCTGTCCTTTTTCTCAGCAGAAATTCAGGCCTGCTGAGCACTCTTACCTGACACAGTTTGACACATGAGCTGTCTTCTCTGAGCATGAAAATTCCCTGCACGGGCTCCCACTACAACACTGCTTCTGGCAAATGACTGAGTTTGGGTTTGATAACCAAAGATATTAAAGATATTATAGATTTAGCAAAGGTTGGAATCCCTGAATGCTGGTGATACAGCCATGCAATGCTGGGGGGGGGTGTTGGATGTGTTGGCTTATCTGCCCCTAAAACATTAACTATTTGGGTGCATACTCTAAGTTCCTGTTTCCCCTGTTTCATGTATATCTAGCAAATTATACTTGGTGTTTAGTCTATTCTAAGGTGTGCTTTCTTTGAATCTCTATTTTCTTTTGATTTTGACAAATGATGTAATTTAGAGACAAAGGTAAAATGCTTCAGCAGGAAAGAAAACAGATTAACTAAGAGAAAAGAATTAATACCAGCACTTCTGTAGGGTGTCCTTTTCTCGATCTGACAAACAAAACTGGAAGCAGCCTCAACAATGTAGGGTCTGGCCCCAGTTTTGCCAGCCTGCACAGAGCTGGCACAGGCAACTCCTACTCACCCACCCTGCAAAGGCTGAGAAAGAAGCGAAAGTGGGACTGGAACTGCATCATTTCCTGTGCTTTTATACTCTCCAAGCTGCCACTTTGTTTTGTTAAGGACTTTTCTCAGGCTGATCAGACAAAGAAGAGATGTCTTCTGTTCCTCCTGGATCCTCCTTTGCCTGCCATACCAAGCAGAGCTCTGTGTGCATCAGTAGCTCATTTTCCCTTTCTGTTCTGAATGCTTCCTGCTTCTGTTCATAGTTTCTCTATGCCTGCACAATAGGATGAAGGCAGGTCTCCTGACTGGCACGTTCCTAAAAATCTGTTCAACTCAGTACAAGACAGATGCAGTAAAAGCTTCAGGACTCCACTTAGTCATCATACTTTGCTTATCTTCTATCACAAAGCCTCGCCCTCTCGCTAAAGCCACAGCAAGTCACTGCTCCATCTCCTCCTAGGAAACAGTGGGTAGTTCTCTCTGTGGCTTCACAAGCAACAGATAGTGGGCTCTAGCTTTCTGGCAGAGAAATTTTCCATTTACACAATGTTATATGCAGGTTACTTTGCAATTTACAGCAAGAAAACAAAGCTGTGAAGTATATGTACAAATCTACTGTGACAATAGAAAAAAATACATGTTATTTTCTTCTTATTGTTTATTTCTTTACAACCTAGAAAGCAAGTTGCACTAACTAGAATATACATCATTAGAGCTATGTACAAAAGAAATACCAGTGTATTTTGTATTATTTTGTGTATTTTGCATATAGTTAAATCTCTCCTGCGTATTTTATGCTATTAGAATGGCTCAAGCACGACACAAATACTGACACTGCAGAGTTTCTGGCAATGTCGTGCTGTTCCTTGATGCCATTCATGCAGACAGCAGATCTTCTCCTCCAATTGTGTACCAATGGATGCTCTCCATTACCCTGCTTGCAGCAAAAGACACTGACAAGTACAGAACATGACAAAACGTCTCTCCCTACTACTAACAAGGCTGCTCTGGTGCTCTGCAGCTTCCTTCTTTACAGCCACTGCATTTTCTATTTTCTTTTGAACACAAAGTAGCATCTCAGTCCAACTAAATTAGTAAAGAAAGTTTTAAAATAGACTTTTGTGCAAGCCACGTTACATTTCCTCTCCTGCACTGCATGTGACCTTTAATAAAACACCAAAAGCTTTTAAGTCTATTCAAAAACACAGCAACAGTTGGTAGCAAGAACAGCGATGCCTACACTGTGCAGTACGCTGTGCAGCACAAGTTCCTCCTCAACAGGCCTATTTCTGGTGCAGAACTTGTGCCCCTTTAATGTGTCACCTTATATGCTATGCTAGATGCAGCAAATTAACCATTTGTTTTGCAGGGATTGGCAGACTTCAGTATTACTGTTTCCTGGGTGACTTTAATTACACTATGATTTCTGACTGCAGCTATCAGATTAATCCCTTGGGCTTCCTTAACTTAAATCCCTGGTAGAAAAAGGCTTATGTAATAAAAGCTGCGGGGATGTATATTAATGTAATACAATTAAACTAATAAACATATTTTTTGAGTTCTACTGAATGTTTAATCTCAGAAAAATTAGCAAATGCATCATTTCTTTGTTGTTTTTTTTTTTCCTTCAGGTCTGCTACATAAAGGCTAGTTTATCTCAGAGCAGAGAACGCCTCGCTACGTAAGGAAACATAGTGGAAGCATTCTGTCTGACTGATCAGCAGAGGATTAGAACTCAAACTGAAACACTTCTCATTCACAGAGCTCAAGTGCTTTATTCATGAGCACAAGCATCATATGGCATGGTACATATCCAGCTCATTAAACTCAGATTTGGGAAGGTTAAGCCATGTGTCCAGAATTACATAGCAAGTCTAACAGTAGAATAGGAGGCAGAGGCTACTTCCTCAGTCTGAGCCCTTTACAATGGATTCAACAAGATGAGTGACTTCAGATAAACAGATCAACTAATTTTTCTGGGTGAAGAACTGCCTTTTAAGGCAACTGTTATACGTATCTGTTACATGTATCAAGCCACAATGTAAACCCTTCACTTGTATGAATATGAAAATGTCACACATTGAAAAATTGAAAATATTAATGCAAAACTTACCTGTATCACAGTGCAATTCATATCCAGGTACAGCTGCTGATGCTCCAGAATGACCAGGAAGTCTCAGAATCACAAAATGGCCTGGGTTGAAAAGGACCACAATGATCATCCAGTTCCAACCTCCTGCTATGTGCAGGGTGACCAACCAGCAGCCCAGGCTGCCCAGAGCCACATCCAGCCTGGCCTTGAATGCCTCCAGGGATGGGGCATCCACAGCCTCCTTGGGCAGCCTGTTCACAATGGGGAAGGAATAGACAGAACAACTTGTCTGCATAACCAAAGATAATAAAAATAGAAATTTTTCAATGTCTCTTTCAAACTTTTCCATGGTATTTGCAATGTTTCTTACAATTTTGAAATACAGATGCTATCTAAAGTCTTATCAGGTCATTAAAATAAAGGCGAAACATTTCAGCTTCCTGACAGCATTAGGCTTTTTTCTTAAAGAGTAGTCATTCATTGAGTGATTTCAAATTCTGATTATTCACGATGCACTTTGAAACACTAACAAAGAATGCAAAATACAAAGCAATTTAACAAAATATGGCTTTTAGCCCATATTATTAGCAGTTAGAACACTATTTACTAAAAACCCTTCCCAGCTTCTGCTTTCTTCCCCGCTCCATCTCTTCTCTCCATTCTCCTGTACACCATTTTCTGCACGCTGACAGAACAAGCGAGGTGTTACAGAGGTACAGAGGCCGCTAGCATACAAATTCTGAGTGATGCTTATTTGTCAGAGGGAAGCATATTCCCAATTCTTAAGCATCTGCAAAATCTGTTCTCGTAGCTCTTTCCTCTCTGGGAGGCATCAGTTCAAAAGGTAATCTGGGTAAGAAATTGCTTTCTCTTGAAAGTATGCGTTATACCTATAAAAATGAGGATATCTATGTATACATGTGGAATTTATGTGGAAAATTGATTTTTTTTTTTAAACCAATTTACCTCTCTCTGCAACGCTGACTGCTCCTACACTGTGCTGCTTAACTCACGCACGTTCGGAAGCTGGATGCCCCGCCACTTTTTCGTTCTCGATAGCCGAATTTGAAACGTTTTCAGAAGTTAACCCCTGCGGCACGCCGCCTGCCATTTCCCATGTGGGGGATGGTGGGACCATGGCAACGGCGGTGGGCGGGGTTTATAGGCGCCCGCCCGCTCCGATTGGCTGGCGGCGGGGCGCTGACGGCTTCCGGAGTGCGCGCGCGGCAGGGCGGGCGGCAGGGCGGGCGCGCGGCCCGGCGGCGGCGTCGTGCGGTGTCGGTGCGGCGGTCGGGCAGACGGACGGGCGGAGGGAGGTGGAAGGATGGACACGCTGGGCCGGAAGGTGGTGGTGTGCGACAACGGCACCGGGGTGAGTCCCGAGAGGCAGCGGCGGCGGGAGGGAGAAGGGCGATTCCCCCGGGCCGGCTTCCTGCCGGCACGCCCGGTCTGCCCGCCGCGCCCTACGCGGCCCAGCGGCGGGGCCTGCGCCGCGGTGAGGCGGCGGGGAATGAATGGGCCGCGGGCGGAGCGGGGGCGGCGCCGCCATCGCCGGGCGCTCCCAGCTCGGGGCTCGCTGCCGCCTCGCCTCCCGTGAGCGCACACGGCGGGAGTTGGTCGTCCGCTCGTAGCGTGGAGGCAGGAAGTGGCAGAGATCGCATCGCGGACCGTCGGGAGGGGTGGCGGTGTGTCCCGTGTGCCCGCCCCCCAAAAATAATGATAGATATATGTGTGTATTTATTTATTTTTTTAAGCGTTTAGAAGATAGAAAAAAAGGAAATGTTTAAAGCCAAGGATGGGATAGCTGAGACAAAGGATGGCGTTGTTAGGGATTCGGCCTCCTGAAATGCAGAGCGTGCTGTCAGCACTGCAAGTGATGAGAGCGGGGATCTGACAGCGCTGTTCTGACAGTCCTGGTGCCTTCTCCTGGAGGAAAGAAGGCTGCGGGGTGACCTCATTGCAGCCTTCAGTACCTAAAGGGAGCCTACAGACAGGAGGGGAATCAACTCTTTGAAAGGGTAGATAACAGCAGGACAAGGGGAAATGGTTTGAAGTTGTGGGAGGGGAGATTGAGGTTGGATGTCAGGGGGAAATTCATTACAGAGAGAGTGGTGAGGTGCTGGAACAGCTGCCCAGAGAGGCTGTGGATGCCCCTTCCCCGGAGGTGTTCATGGCCAGATTGGATGGGGCCCTGGGCAGCCTGGGCTGGTATTAAATGGGGAGATTGGTGGCCCTGCGTGTGGCAGGGGAGGTGGAGATTCGTGATCCTTGTGGTCCCTTCCAACCCTGGCCATTCTGTGATTCTCCTGTTTTCCCCTTTTTAAAGAAAATGAATAGGGCTGAGAGTCAGCTGGCACTTCCCACAGTACTGTTTAGAAAAAGATGGCATTTCCCCATTTCCTCCCTTTTTTTTTTCTTTTTTTTCCCCTCTTAGTGCTTAATGCTCTACTCTTCAGGCTTGGCCCATGAGGCACATATCTCAGGAACCCTCTCCATCCTTCAGTGCTGCCCTTCTGGTGGCAGCGCAGCACTGAGCTGTACGGCGCTTGGCTGGAGTTGGTGACACCAGCACTGCACTGCTGGGTATAAATAACAGGGTGAGGTGCCTTTATGCTGCTGTTAGGGGCCTGGAGGAGGGGCCAGCATCACTTCAGCTTCTGTTGGTTTAGGTTGCATTTATCTCCGAGCAGAACAGTGCATGTCTGCAGGATCAGCTCTGTGCAAGAACAGGTATCAGGACACGACTGTTAAATCAGTCAGCTTGAAATATTTAGGTTAATTTAGGATAATTAAACTGGAAGAAAATTTTGTTCTTGACATCAGAAAATGCTTGAAACCTCAGCTCAGAATTGAATATGTCAAATTAGCCCTACTTTGTCAAAAAGGTATTTTTCACAGTAACTATTTTCATGTGTGACAAAGAGGGCCTGCTTTATGTTAAAAGGATTTCTGACGTTTATGACATCACATGTCATAATTAATGTGTGAAATTAAGTCTCTAGTCAGGTGCCAGAAATATTGTGGAAAAATGGAGACTAGAAAACTCAGATGCAGCTTTAACTTTAAACTTGAATTTATTGCTCTTGTTGTGCTGAAATACAACCTTAATGTGGCTTACTGCTTTGAGGAAGAGGTGACTAGGAGGAAGTTCTTGCAACATGTAGTGCAGAATAGAGGCAGGCAATGGCATCTTGACAGCGAGAGTGATAGAGGTGGATGTTCTGTTATACGACAAGCAGAAAGTAACTGAGTGGCCTGTAGTATTTCTCTAATAGTATTTAGGGTTTTTGTTTGAGAATTGCATCAACTGAAGGAATCAAACACAGCCCCCGATAAGAGTGTGAGTGTGTTCATTTTAAAGCCTGTCACGTGATGTCTGTGAGCTTCCTCATTCTTTGGTTTGAAAGAACACTTATACGTTCAAGTTCTTGCTGCTTGATGACTCAGTAGGAAGTGAAAGAGTCCGTGCAAACCACAGTGCAATGGAGAAGAAACTATATATGGTAAAATGGTCATGCGGACAGGCAAAGCAAGTAGCTGCTCTTAAAGCATTTTGAATGTATAGCAGACACTTGCAAAAATGACCAATGGTGAACTTTGGCTTCCTTGCCAAGATGTGTATAAATACATTGAGTGTTGATTTTAATGTTTGAGCCATGGTGTACACAGTGCTGTACTGAAATCATTTGCTAATTGTTCCAAGGGCTGCACAGAGAAGGGATGGCAGAGCAATAAGCACACTCTGTACTGTACTTCAGTTTTAATAGAGGGCTTCACGTGAGGGTGGAAAGAACACCACGACTATTTAATATTTGGCTCCAGATGATTATATTCCAAACTAGTTTCTAACCTTCAATCAAATGTTTTGAAAGATCTTTTGTAAGAAGGGGATGAGCATCATACGTTTCTTCTTCAAAAAATCCAAGACAGTTCAGGATTTGTTACGTGGATACGTGTTTGTTGCTAAGGTGCATTTATCTGTTGTCAGCTATCTCTTGGTAGTTTGATCAAGTGTCCTTCTTCAGCCTTAGTACCTGACATGACATCGTCTCCACCCTACCCACCAGCTAGTGCTCACTGTGGTGATGGGGAGGATGCTACCCTGAGAACACTCAGCATCTCCCACCAGGGAATGCTGGCTACAGAGCTGCTTTCAGTACTCACTAGTGATTAGGGAGGGAAGATTTAGTTTGGATGTCAGGGGGAAGTTCTTTATAGAGAGAGTGGTGGGGTGCTGGAACAGCTGCCCAGAGAGGCTGTGGATGCTCAGTCCCTGGAGGTGTTCAAGGCCAGGTTGGATGGGGCCCTGGGCAGCCTGGTCTAGCATTAAGTGGGGAGGTTGGTAGCTCTGCATGTGGCAGGGGGGTTGGAGATTCATGATCCTTGCTGTCCCTTCCAACCCTGGCCATTCTGTGATTCTGTAATGATTCATGTGGCCTGGGGAAACAAGATGGATTTGAAGGGGAGAAAGAGTCAGAATGAAAATCTGCCCCTTCTGTTTGGTTTTAACCATGTAGAGCTGACCAAAGTTTGTAAAAATGTAACTTGTACAGATTCTTGGTTCTGACCTGAAAGGGAGAGCTGGAGTTAGGCTGTGCAAAATAAAATGAGTGAGATTGAGGGAGGAGGCAGTGAATGGCTAAGCTATCAGGTTTGTGAATTGCCAGTATCCTACTGTTGTGCAATGTCCCAGCAAGGTGTGTCAAGGCCTTAGGGCTTAACATAGGGACAGACTGAAAGTTACAATTACAAATGAGAGGGTAAAACTTATAGTATAGAATAGTATCTTTGTAGCTCAATGTTTTCTAGTTCAGTTTTCTTGTATGCCAGAATGTTGTAGCAGTAAACTTGTGTAGTGCTCTGCAAGCAGTCATTTGTTAAAAGGCAGAGTTGTTTTTTAAGAATCTATAAACCTTTATTTACACTCTGCCAGACCTTCAGAATGTCTCGAATGTTTCCTGTGGTGTAAAACATTTGGAAAGCCTTGTGGCATGTCCAGGTAGCGTGATCCAAAAATGTGGCTCTTTGCTTTTCATAGCAGCAGTGCATTCTTGAATACACAGATAAGATCTGTGCAACTCCCTTGTACTCTTTGTCCTAATGTCAGTAAGTAGTTGCCTTTACAGAGAACATAGATTGCAACAGAATGAGTGAAATGAATGTTATATGTAATGTAATTCTGCTGGTATTCAGAACAGCTCTGCCGCTGTAGAGAGCAAATTCTGAGTCAGGGAAAGAATTGAGGGGCACAAAAAGCTAAGAAGTCCCTCTCCACTCCTATTAGCCCAAATTTAACTGGAATGTTTCTTGCACCTTTCCATAATTAGCTTGAAGCATTCCTCACAGATGAATAATGTAGAGCAACAGAAAGCAACTTTTCATGTTAGAGTTGCACATCATCACAGACAGGATTTTTTTTGTGCTCAGTTAATGCTTTCTTAGCACATATGCTGTATCTTTGGAGCTAGCACTGTAAAACTTCCCTTTGTATGTATTTGAGGAACAAACACTTTCAGAACGTCCTGTTTGATGTGAGCCACCACTAGCTGGGACTTCACTTGTGTCCTGTGCGTTTTGCTGCATGCTCATTGCTTTTTTCCTTAAAATCTGCCCTAAAAATGTTAAACTCTTGAGAAATCTGTTTTGAACTGTACAGAGCATCACAGAGAATCCCTTTTCCATAGCACTGTAACACCCGAATTCACAAAGGTTTTGTGTTTGCTGACATATCATTTGCTTTGCTGATCCTTGCGTCAATTGGAAAGGCAAATTAATTGGGGTACTTATGAGGTGATCCGTTACAAAATGGTAAGTTTGTTTGCTGGGGAACTTCTCACAGGGCGGCAGGGAAGTCAGGTTTGAACACTGCACTCTTTTATACCTCTCAGTGCACTTAGTCATTTTCGTACTGCTTCTTCACAATCTGACAGTCTGTTGTGGAAAACATTCTGGAAGGTACTTGAATTCAGTGTTGTATATCCACCTATCTGAAATGTGTAAAAGGAATGTGAAAGCATAAATCTTGTAGGATTCGTGCTCTTAAACCTGGTGTTTTACTCCCA